CTTATTTTGCACTCATGCGTAGGATCGGCGAAGTCTCGAAGCAGGCATTGCTCTTCGGATATTTTATCATGCCCAACATAGATTGTTCGGTGCCGCGAGGGGGGTGCGAAAGGGAAATGGTATTTCTCGTTGCGGTTCAGAATGCTCTTCTCGTTCAGTACGCAAAATGAACCGAGTCGCGAGGAGGCTTTATTGGATTTAATATTTGCGACGAACGACTATCTGGCACTTGACGTTAAGATTCAGGATAACTTGGGAGATTCGGACCACTGTGCGATCACGTCGAATATCAAGCGGACGAAGATTAACGCCAAACCGAGGTAGGTTTCGAACAACTCTAAGAAGGCCAATTTCGAGAGACTATGCGAATGTGTTTCAGGCATCGACCGGGATGGGCTGGCTGACGGTAGAGGAGCAATGGGGACGTTGAAGACGTTATCTCAGGGCTTTATGAAGGAATGCATCCCCAATAAATCCATAAAATCGGGCAGGCAACCGGTCTGCTTTAGAGTAAAATCAAAGCTCTCATCAGGGATAGAAAGTGGAAATGGGATGCATACAAGAGGACGGGAGATAGCACGGACTATGATGAATATAGGACCATCACGCGGACGTTGAAGCGAGAAATTAGATCTGCGAGACGGGAGGTAGAGGAACGGCTGACGAGCGAAGCAAGGATGAATTCCAAGGCTTTTTATCGGTATGCTTGTGGTAGGTGGGGAGGTAGGAGGTAGGTAGAGGAGTTGATTCCAAGTAATAAGGATATGGGCAGTATATTTAACGTGTTCTTCGCTTCCGTTTTCACCGTGGAATCCGACTCGGCATCGTCATTGGAGGAGGTAAGGTTAGGAGGCGCGCATCGATTATATTTCCATCACCAAGGAGACGATCGTAAGTCGGAATGAATGTGAAAAGAGGAAACTTCGTTTCCTTTGCCGTATTGGTGCCATGGAAAACAGAAGCGGTAGTCAAGGAGAACCATGCATTATTTCTGCCATGAAAGTCCTTGCGTATTATATATGTTTAAATGTATGGCTCCCTCTTTTTTTTTACAGGAACGAAATGTTTCTGGTTTTCTCTGTATCCAAGCGCCCCACGGTCATGGATGGATGGGAAGTAGGATATGAGAGAGACTATTTCATTCCTATTCAAGGTCATTTTTCAAGGTCAGTGACAACCTTATCCTCGATGCGTTATGAAAGGCATATTCTTCCAAGTTCTTAATTTGGCTGCCATTTTATTGCAAATGCATGCGTCCCTTATTAATTCAATTCATGTTAATTGTCCATGGATAATTTGTACGAAGTGGGATATATTAGGGCATCTGAAGTCTTAATAGTCCTCATGCAATGGAATGATGTGTAGTAGAATAATAATAAGAAAGTAAAAGCACATCCTGCTTGCCATTCACACAGATGTGATATATATGTTCGCTACCACCGAACAAATACCACTCTAAATACCATGAAAATACATGATATTCAGCTAGTCATAATTTTATTTGCAGTTTGGTTTAAATTATTCTGAGTAACGCTGCCCGCTATCATTTACATGTCTGTATTATATTGTGTTCTATGGGTCCGATCAATTAAATTTACATGACCGATCAGAGAAACCACTGTAGCGTGACAATAAACAAGATGCCAAATGCTCGGGTAGAAATATTCTCCCACTGTGGCTTCATGATATAGTACTTACAAAAGAAGAAAGAAGAAGAATGAATTTCTGATTTTTGAACCTCGGGATTCATCCAAGAATTCCCATTTGAAATATATTTCATTTCATGGTGAATGGATATGTACTTTCATGAGTCCGTTCTAGTAAAAAAACCATTGCAATTTTAAGAAACTTCTTAAATTGTTGTGAATTCTCATGAAAATTAGGTAATATTATTCGGCACGTAATAATAATGATAATAACCATTAATGCGGAAAAACTGAGCAATACGGTACTCCCTCCTTAGAAAGCGAAAAACACCAGGAATCCCTAGCCTCATTCGGAGGTGGAGCTACACATGGCCCGCCTCCTCTCTCGCCACTTTCTCCCTCCGTCGAAGCCCATATAAAGCCAGAGAATCCTAGTGACGTGTTGATTTGCTATTTTGACCAATACCTTTTGTCTCATATCTCCTGGTTGTGAAGCGCCTGTTATTTTGGAAGAGTTATTCAACAATGGCGGCGTTCTCGTCTGTGCTTGAAATCATAGGACCACCAGAGCACTGTCCTTGACATAATTTTCTCCCGACTTAATGAAGCTCACCTATCGTCTCACTTCTCTCGTCTTCGCATGCCTCTCTATAGACCGGATCGAGTAGTCTGGGAATCTTCTGCTGTATCGCATCCTGCGCATTCAGATATTCCATTTTTGCCCACTGCCTCTGACCTAATATCAGCTCACGGTTTGAACGTGTGCCCAGCAAGAGCAGCGATTTGAGCTCTCGATGGGGACACTAGTCTTTATATCTGGTCTACACCCTCGGATACTCTACTCATTATAATGAAGTCGATGAGGTTATAAAAAAATGGTTTCGAAATGTCCGCAAGAAATTTCACTAAGAGGGTACACAAGCCTTCTTGAAACGCTGGAGTAAGTGCCTTGATCGCTATGGGAACCATACAAAAAAATGTCATACTTCCAGGAAACACTGGTCAGCTCACCATAACAAGTTCACCGAATTCTTTGTATTTAGAAATTGTGAATAAGAACGCGAAAACATTGATTTCCCCTTCATGGTCTATTACATTTTTCAAGTTCATAGGAAATGTTCATTCGTGGTACGAGTTGAACTGTCCAAACTACATCCTGTTCTGTTTCCTGTTCTTTTTCCAACATTTGCCAATCAAATGAAGCCTAGCAAGATCTAGTGTATTGAATGCCGTGACATTTGCAGAAGCAATTGGCGTTGAAATGCCATTGAGAAGATTGGGTGGGTGGAGAAGGAGGAAAGAGAACGTTTCAGGTCCGGGTTCCCTGATTGTACCTTTGGGGCTGCTTGACGGCCAATGGAATAGAAGCTATGGAGGAAACAATGAGAGAATCCGGTTTTGAAAACGTGCTTTCTTATTGGGTTCATTGTATTTGGTGACGCAACAAGTCTGGAATCAGCGCAGCTGCTTGTGCGCACTCGCAGAGATTACAATAAAAGAGAGGGGAGATGCTCTTCAGTTACATTCTGCTTTCTTACTTTGGTGAAGCACCTCAACAACTTGAAGCAACACTGAAAGTAGGTAACCCCTTCTTTTTTGCCATTGCTATGAATTCATTTTCCCTTCTGTTCTGACTGTGAACATTGAATCCGGCTTTCCTTCGGAAAGACTGGTTTTTCCATGTCATCTCATGGATGTATTCGTATAGCATTAATTTTGAAGAATGGCATTCACTTGAAAGCTTACAATGGGACATCAATGTTAAAGTCGACAATTTCGCCGTATTTTTCAGTACCGTGACATAAATTTATTAGGCAAGTTTTCAGTTTCCGTGTATTTTCCGGGTAACCCAAGGTGTTGTATGCCGACGGTATATATTGTTGGGATGTGGAAAGTTTCACGTATACAGAAAGAAAAGGTCCCTACACTTACAGAGACACATTTTCGAAAATGCGTGGATACAGAAACAAATTCCAGTTCCAATAATTTAAGCATTTTTTCCGAAAATTTGAATATCACTATTTCTCATGATGAGGGAAAAACAGGCTGTCATGTGATATAAAAATCTGTATATCGAAAAACTGCTTAAACATTTTACTCTACAACGCAACTGTGCTCCTACACGTGAAAGAGAAGGCCAATGAAACCATAACTTTCGATTTCACACAGCAAGAGGCATTTAGGTTTTCCATATGAACTCGAAATTCCGATAAAATACGCAATCTTGCTCGTCAGTCACAGAAATCCATTCAATTTTTTTATATAGTGATGAGTACAACACATCTAGCAGCGTGCTAGAATTACCTGAGAGGTAAGAGATTCAATGAGTATCTTTACCAAATAAACTGGATTTTTCTGTCTCTCTCAAATTGAATCATGCCAGGGAAAATGAAGAGCTGCTCAAATTCTCTCTAGCTTCTTCAATTTCCCACTTTTTCATGAGCTGATATTAAGCGCCTTCGTAGTGTGACAGGCCTTGAAAAAAAAAACTCGCCTTCGAATCAAATGTCCAACAATTTCCGGTGGCACAAAGACTCCCTCTCTTCTCGCTGTGGAACCTTCAAGTAAAACTTTTAAAGAGAAAGTCTCTACTTCCATTCAGGAAATTCGAATTCATGTTTGTTTTAAAATTCACGACTTTATGTATGTGCAACAGCAGCGTAAGGTCCACCAGCAACTGCAAATTCTGCTAGCCCTATCCATCCACCATAACCATGACCATGACAATAACCATCCACATCCTTTCCAGCCGTTTGAGATGATGGATCTGAAGCAGGGAATGGGAGAAAGCGGGCAGCTCGCGGACATGTTGACAGGGTTATTTAGCGTGCGTGTGAAATACCGCATCTGGCTTCCTACACTTCATGCGCTTCTTCCATCTCCACGCGGCGCCGACGAGCGGACTATTGAAACCATGTCCAGTTGATTGATGCCTTTAATATAGACTTATTCTGTACAAATGACATTCATCATTCTTAATTTCGTTTCAAGTTCAATTATTAGAATACAGAAAAGAAAATGATTCCAAATATATCGCGGCTCTTGGAATGGAGGACCTTTACATGGACTTGTACTCCCTAGTTCTTCATTGAGAATGCATGCAGTATCCATGACAACTGAACAACACTGCTCATTCTGCATGTGCAGCTTTACAACTGGGTCGGCGTTCCCATCTTCCACTAAATCATGGTTTCCTCTTCCAGCCCTCGAAGATCCCTAGTACACAAGGGGAGAGAGCGGCTGCTCGTGGAAGCGTATACAGGGTTGCTGGGCGTATTCTTGAAATACCATTTCTTGATTGAACTCTTCTCACACCTCCACGTCCCACGTATGCGCGAAACATGCGCGTATATAATGCGTTTTTCTGGAGTATTCAGTTTGGTTTGTGACATGCAAATCTCAGATTTTAATGATTAACTTTTAAATTATTTTTTCATTGTTATGATAGGGTGGAGGGTCCTTCCATAGGTACAGTGCCCAGTGGAGTGACTGTAATGGCACTCTTGCCTTTCTTTCATACAATATGTCAATATGTTAAAACCTCCAATTACAGCATATCTCTTGCCTTGAATCTCTCCCCATTAAAATTGATTCCAAGAAATAGTTCTACCATTTTCTATGGAGGAAACACCGTTTCATAAATGCAACCAAAATGGCTACACTCGATATGCGATCGACATTAGACTGTTAGAAGATGTTGAAATGAATGTCTGCTTTCTTTCAGCACCCTTGCCTAAGATTTTCAATGTCTATTAATAGGTATATTTTAGGTGATTATACCTACCACCTTCCGCCTTAGGTGAGGTTATGAACTGTGCTCGACCGTCTCTGAATTTAATGGAATTTGGCAATATGTTGGATTATTTTGAGAATACAGAAAGTTGTGAAGATTGTCTGTTTTTTTTTTCTTAGAATAATTATTTCAATTTATCATTGAACCTCAAAGGCAAGAATGGTCTATGTTTATTTATCTCAAAATTAAATTAGAGTTGTTTTCCCAGTTTTGGTGTTAACTTGGCTCAAACTAAATTCACATTTTTTAAATTGGCTTCAACTCTTATTTTGGAATATTTTTTAAAGGGATTTTAGACAAAACTGATATTTGACAGAGAGGCTTATGTGAGGTTCGAAGTATGAAACAAAGTATCTTTCTTTTCCTCTGCAAGAAATGCCGGATGAGAAAGACATACCCCTACGGTGAAACGCAGGACCCTCTATCAGAACACATATGCACCTTGTGGATGTGAAGAAAAGATTCGTGAACCTCTCTGCCAAGTATCAACTGCATCCAAGTGTCCCTTGAAAAGTAATTCCCAATCAAAATAAGGTCGTGACATTATAAAAACCGCCCATGCTGGTTGGGGGCCATTTTGTGCCTCCAATCCCAAACCCTCCACCCAATTAATTTAAAACTCCCTTTTCTGGACCGATGTTCGAAGGGCAAACATTTGTTTTTGTCTGACAGCTATTCTCAAAAAGAATTCAACGAATTCTCAAATGCTATGGAATTTTGAGACGGTCGAACAAAGATCTAATACAACCCGGGCAGATGATCCACCTCTAGACTCATTCAGTTCACCTCTAAATGGGCATTGCACAACCTAGACAGGGGTGCTGAAAAAAAGTTGACATGCATGACTTTGTAATTGTCTCATATAGATCGCTTATCCAGTGTAAACTTTTTGAAGCTGCATTTATGAAGCTGTTTTTCACCCATGGAAATCTGGAGAGCGTTTTTTTTATATCTCTCTAAGGGCGTACTTCGTTTCATGCAAAATCTGGATTTATTCAATCCCAGTTCCTCGGCGTAAAAAAATTAGAACAGTCGAAATTATTGACACTTCATGAAGTACAGTGTAAAAGAGTATAGCAACTAGAGATTTGTTTATTTAAAGATTCATCCGCGGGATGTATAGTAAAATATGTTATAATTTCTTTTTAAATGTTCATGTGAATAGTAGACACATTCATCACCCTTTGGATGGTTCTTGAGGTTATCATTCTCGGGGCTTCAGTCAACGTTCAATAGGTTAATTTTTGCAAATAAAAAACTTTTATTTGGCTCAAATTCAAATAAACTTGTCCATTTTAAATTTCTCATGTAATTCTCATTGAATTAAGAGGTTTGATCAAGAATCTGGCAACATAGTTCTTGAGTTAAAGGTTATAGAAATAGGAGATTAGATAGTCCCCCTAAATTTTTCCATCATGTAGTATTTGCCTTAATGGCCTGATAAAGGTGATCTGTCAGCATCTTTGGGTTTTTTGGTTAGAGTTACTTGACAGTAGACATAACAGTGCCAAGTATGCTTTGTGTTTTACACGTTTTTTAGGGCATGCATCGATGCCTAAGTTGACATCATACATAAAAAACACCTAATTTCTAAAGAATACAATTGCGTTACGAAGTGTTTGAGTCTGTAACAAGGTGAACGCTGATCGCGTCAGTCTCATATGAATAAGTAGAGACCGAATGAGGGGATTGCACATGCTGGTTGCGGCACCTTATTGGCGTTTAAAGAAGACTTTATTGAAGAGCATAAAGCAGTTAGTCACAAAACATATGAGCATGTCCGAGTAGACACTAATCACGGCAGCTGAGGTTGACTTTACAGCTTATGACACGAGAAGGAATAAATTGCACGTTCGAGCCAAGGAGAGGATCCATTTCACTCACTGCGGAGTCGTTTTACTCAAATGGCAATACCTACGATAATACGGGGACGCATTTCAGGGTCCTATACCCTCGTTTTCCTTCATTAAAGATAGATTCCAACCATGATTTTACCCTTAAAAACAGGTACCATCAGAGGGGTGCGAAACAAAATGGTCGTCCTCTAAGTTGGGCAATTTGGCCTCTAAGAGACGCAGGAAGTGGTAATCAGACTGAAAGGTAGTCCAGTTTTCGTCGGTTTCCCATGCACTTATGTGACTGTACATGGTATAGAACTTAACTTCCTAGTTCCACTTCGATAATGCAGTAAAAAGTATATTGCTATTGCCATCCTAATTAAAATTAGCTCATTGCGTAATTCACCTGACTAATTACATAATTTATTTGGATATCCTGTGCAATGCAGGTGTAACTCATTGTTTTTCACTTCAATTCATGTCCATTCGTTCATACTTGAGGTATATCGCTTAAATGTTTATGAATTGCCTAGTACTGCCACCAATTTGACCGTCCCTACTCCTCATTGCATTTTTTTGCATTTTAGATAATCATATCTGTTTATTCATTGAGTAGGTGATGCACGTGAAGCTATAAGTGGAGACGTCCTGAGGAAGAATCGGAGTAAAAGCATGCCTATTCCTCGGTGAGTTTCAAATACGAAGGCGAAACTCAGCCAAAGACACTGTCCCAATCCATAAAGAAGTGCCATTCAAATCGTCTGGGGCAAGGATTCCTGGAAGATGGGAAAAGCGAATTATAAGTATCTCAGTGGTTGACGACGACAGGATTTGACTTATGTCGAAGAGGGGAAATAATTTTTTTTCATTTTAAGACGATGATTCAATCTTGTCTATGCAATTGTTGACCTTAACTTTTCCTTGTCATTACAGGGGGATTCGCGCCTTCCTGACTCCAGTTTTAATTCCGTGTCTATTCTGGTCTGGGGTGTCTTCAAAGTTCAACGTTTATCATGCCGTATACCAAGGACAACGATACGGAAACTTGTCTCTGGAGTTGAAGGTGGAGAACTTCGAGGAATGTCACTTGAAATGCGTGATGATAAAAGCGTCCCAGGCTTGCTACGCTTTCAACCACAATGAGAAGGATGGATCCTGCCAGCTGATTCACAACGGAAAGAGCCATCTCGTTCCCTCAACTGAGTATCAGGCTTACGTTCAATGTGAGTGTAACCGCAGAATGAAAATGATGTATTTGATAAGACTCCCACCTCCTGGACTCGTGTTTTGAAATACAGATTTAATGGATAGAGAGCGGAAAGTACATATTACACTTGGGCAAAGGTCCTCCCATTAAAATTTTTCGATCAAAAGGAATCGCACGTCTAGGGATGATTCCCGAACCTAAAACTACGAGATTCTGCTTTGAGATACAATGATTGGTTTTTACACATTCGACACATTACAACCGTCCAAATCAGAAAGATCTCAGCTAATACGACGAGCTAAAGATGAGAAAAATAACGGAGCAAGATCACAAAAGGAAGGTGGATCTTGACTGCATTCATGATCTTGCTGGTGTTCGCAGAATTAATCCTGGGAATTCGCAATGGTTTCGGATGGCACGTACAGCGTCTGGTGAAGAAATTGGATGATGGAGATATGAATGTTTCCTATTCAAAGGAACGATGTCCAATAAAAGTTGAGATGGTCTTGATTTTCAACCTAGGGACAAAATCCTGTTAATATATTATGCAGGAACCGTTCTCTGGTCGCCTAGCGAATTTATTTGCCCTTCGGGCAAACAATCTCATTATTAACGCGCCTTTGGCGCGGTTCGCTCCATAAAATGTTAATAATAAAGCATTTGAACATCCTTTTTCGATTCTTAAGAATACAAATTTGGTAAAACTCCTTGGATCATTACGATTCTTTCCCTGAAGTTTCAGCTACTCCTGCTTGTGTGAAGTGATTTTCAATCTGATGTTAGGAACATCAGAGATTCTTCATAGCCCTAGAACTGTCACTTTTGAGTTCATATTTAATACGGTGCCATCAATCGCGAGATTCGAAGAACTAGCATTCTTTGAGTCAATTTGAGCTTCTGAGTTTACTCATCCTTCTCCTAAAACCTCTATTATGGTGGCAAAAAAATTGAGAAATTTTTCAAACTAAAACACATCCCCTGTGGGCGTGTACAACAAAATAAAACAATTTTCCTTGAATTCGTTAATCCGAGTCCTATAAAAAAAATCATTTTTAAAACGTCCCGGGATATTGCCCCCAAGGGATACAGCTTCAAGTTAAAAATTTTCTTTACATTTGCAAATCACTAACCCAATTCTTACTTATTCTCAGCTATTCATGTCCTTTGCCTGTATTTGAAAATTCCCATGAGGGTTTCGCTATTCAGTGATCGTTGATGAGCGTCGAAACTTTAGTCCAGCTTAGTCCAAAAAGGGCGGTTATTACTTTAAAGATTTTGGACTCAGTGGAAAGGGTGATAAAAATGCTGTTGAATAGTATGCTTGCAAAATTTTGGCAAAAATATGTTTACTTAAAAATTATAATCTTGCAAAATCGCCCCCATAATTGTCCTCAGAATAGTCATTGTGCTGGAATGGCAGAATGCTACGTATTCCTTTCCCTGAAATGGCCTGAAGGAATCATTCTTTTTAATATTTATATTCAATTTTTGCTATAAGACTGCTTAATTCAAGGTCTCTAGAGTGATCTCTCCCTGCGTCTCCTTTCGGTTCTCATTCCCCATGACGTGAGACCAAACCCCTCGATGAGAAAAAATGATAATATGAATATTGGCAATATTTAGGGTCACATTTTCTACCACTTGCACTAAGCTTCCTCCGTGCATTTCATACATGCTTTCCCAGCATGCTTTGAGACACATCCCCCCTTCCCACTGGAGTTCAGAAGTTGGAATAATATTATTTCCAACTGGACACTTGATTAAGGTTATAAGTGTTTTCCTACCTCAAAATGGAGTTTTGTCGTAAAACGTCAGCAAGTGTCTCACAGGTTTACCCTCTATCTTAATCAATGGCATTACGAAGACAAGGCCCCATATGCCGGAAGATGCCTTGACAGGTCGACCAGAGCGACTTGCATCATGTGTTGATGCGGAACCCTTCTTAAATTGATGGTACCTAGGGGGGCAGTCATTTTTACCGTAACGGAAGTTCCATTCCCTCCATCGAAGAAGGTCCACTTCGAACGAGCGATTTTCATTGTGCTGAAAATGATCGCTGGCTCCCGTTTTACTCTTTCCGCGCCACATTAAGCTCACTTTAAATCCACCCTTAGACGAGTGACATGTATTTGCTGAACAAGATCAGGGGACCCACAGATCAGGGGATCCACATATCTCCAGCAAGAGGGCTCACCAGGATCTACCCCAATAGATGCAATCCGTTTCATGTTATTCACTGCATGCTATTCATGATGCCAGTGATGAATATCTAGTCCTGGAGGTGTTCTTTGACGTGTTTCTCACAAATGTGTTGAAAATACAGTTCTCTGCTTGACGGACTACCCGAGGATCGAGAATGCAGAAGAATCCTTCGATGGTTGGACGGGTAAGCATCCAGCCCCACGTGGTGGAATGGTGAACTTCTCTTGCAAGCACCCGCGGGGGTTCAGGGATGGGCAGAAGGACCACCAGGCTACCTGTTCGTCCTTCGTAGCTGATGCCTGGTGCGCGACATTCATCGAGAATGAAAAGGATCTCTGTCCTCCTCCACGTGAGCACTTCGTCAAGTTAGACCCATGTTAGAGTTTTTCCCAATCGCTAGACCCCTTTTTCATATCTTGATTGACATATTTCAAAACTTAGCGTATGATCTGCAAAACTCTTGGCTCTTTCCTCACATCCATGCCAGCATCAGTCAAAAGTGCGTCCCATTATTAAAATTAAAGTACGTTCTTCGATGTTCTAACGTACGTTTTAGGTATATCTGAAGATAGTGAAGAAGAGACCGTGAAAATAGTTATTTGGCAAATTCCCCGAATTTCAATATGCATTCATGTTACAATATGTCTTTAGGAGGCCGGAATAGAAGGTGAGTCCTTTCAGCCGGTTTCTCGTTTTTTAAAACTGAAATGAACGTCATGCGATAAAATGCATAGTTCGCGACCTTTAGTATTCCAAATTATTAAGGATGTCTCGTTTATGTATCAAACATAAATAAAATAAATGAAAATTTGTGTCTGAGGGGAAAACTCCAGCTCTATTAGACAAGATATAACATTCACGTGTATGTCACCGCTTCTTCTATGGATATGAAAATAAATCCACTATAACATATTATACACCCTAATGGACGCAATTTATAATAATACGTACAAATATGCAGGCTTCGCAACGAATGAGCTTTTTTTCGTGGAGTCACGTAGACTTCCGGATTCCAGACGTTTGTTTCTCTTTTTTCTAGATTAATATCTCAAGTATTTTTATGATCCGCTCCAATTTCACCATTGAGACTCCATTCTGGACGTACGTGATTGAGAAACATGATATAAATATATAAATAGGTGGCTGTGGCCTATGCGCCTCACCTGCCAGGTCCTCACACCCATAGAAACATGATGATTTCAAAATTCTGAAAAATTCATACTGGCTCAGCCGTCGCCCAGGATAAAAAGGGCCGCGTTGGCTGCAGGTCTCCCGGTACAGTCAGATAAAAGTTGGCGTCCGGAGTCTCTCACGTTCCTGTTCCTCACCAGGACCAGGCAGAAGTGGGAGTAAGGGCTACTGGTGAAAGACCCAGCTCAGTCGCAGGGGCCGGGGTTGACAGGCGACCCTCCTCTGCTACAGAAAATTCGAAATTTATAAAAATTTGAAAATGTGATGTTAAAACGAAAATGCAGGAAAATATAATCCTGCTAATGACTAGCGTGAAGAAAGATCGATTTGGTGATCTAGAAAATTGCGAAAATGAGTACTTGAATTTTGAAAAAAGGTATTATCAGATTACTCCCTTATTAGGATAGGATAATATAGGATACGATTCAATAGTATTCCGAGCGGAATGGCATTTAATTGATCTGATTTGCAGAATCCTGCGTGGCTGAATACCCCAGCATAGAGAACGCCACCGTGACATACGACAGATGGGACGGAAAATACCCAGCACCACCTGGTTCCAGCGTCATCTATACCTGCCCTCATTCCTCAAGGTTCAATGACGGGTCGGACGTCCACAATGCCACCTGTTCCTTTCGGATCGATGACACCTGGAACAGTTCCTTTCAAGACAGGCATGTTCGATGCCAAGGTAATTCACTTGACTCACCGAAAATACGTCAGTTTAACACGATTCTTGACTCGGAGCAGCAAAGTTCGGTGGACGATTGCGTTCCGTGTCGGGTGCGGGCCAGAATCGGGCCGATCGAGTTTCAACTCGGACAAGTCAACCCGTGCCGGCTTCCGACGCGCGCAAAAAGACAGGAAAACCCAGAGAAATCACGTTCGCGCCGTACTTTCAGGATTTTTGACTCGATAAGTATCGCCTCAAAATGAATTCTAAAAGATTTGGTGGGATAAAAAGTCATTCAAAATTGCTTTGTTCTCTATATAGTATCAATCGGTACATCAGCTTTTTCAGTCAGTCAGTGGTTTATTGTAACATGTAGTAAGGTGAAAACCACTTTTCAAATGTTTTACCTTTATTCAACCTCAACCCAACCTGAGCCCCCACCCTCGTCTGTCCCCTTCCCCCACCTTCCCCCCTTCTCTAGGAACTCACTGACATCAGGCTCAGGCCTAACCGACGGACTGTATTTGGATCAGGCTCATGCATGCCGTTTTTGCGTTCAAAAGAAAGGCAATCTTCGACCTACGGATCAATTTTGCCTATATGGATTAATCCCTTGTCTTCCAGACATCTGCTTGAGGAAGTGAATCCTTACGCCAATCGCAGTTTCAAATAGTCTCTCATGGCCCTATGACTGCCTACCAAGAGCGGGTAAAAAGAATAATGATAATATAAATAAATATATATATACATTACACTTTTGCTTTTATCTGAAGGGATTGAAAACGTTAAGGTGGGATAGTTTACGTCTGATCAGGTTATGTCTTTTACCTTTTACATCAGAACACATACTTCAAACTGTTTTGAGTGAAGGAAATTGCTGACTAATAAGAAAAATTCAAAAGAAAATACATACGTGAATGTTATTTTTAAAACCTTGTAATTAATCATTCCATCATTTCCTTTTTCATAATGAGCCATACATTCAAACATTTCCCCTCTATTCTGCAAGTCCCAGCTAAGGTTCGCCAATAACTTCTGAACTGATGTTCTAAGATTTGGCGATACTATTTTCTTGTCTTCTTTCACAGGTTGATCGCCACCGCTGTGATGACATGTTGACTTTCCTACGCCGACGCCATTTTATACACTGTTCGTAGGAGACTCGTTAACAGCATACTTTCATCATGCCATACTATTTGCAATTTTAAATAGGCTTTTAGTTAGACGCACCGGTGTGCCTCTTGGCGACTTTGAATGGAATGCGCTACATTATGCCACGAGGGCAAATAATGGGACTCACAGGTTTACCACACCATTGGGCCATTCACTAAGTCTGTCTCTATTGAATAGAATTTCGCGCACCGCGCCGTTGGCGCTGACCGTTTCGCAGATGTTTGAGACGTAACGCGTTTGAATTGTTCCCTCCATTATACACTGTCCGAATAAAGTATGGTACTTTTTTAATTTAGCCCAAATTTTAACTCAAAAAGACCCTGAAAGGACACCATTTAAAGAAATTCGAAGAAACCGCTTTTCCTCATCTTAAAAAGTGTTTTCGGAAAATATTTTAGAGTGGCGGGATAGTTGGCCAGAGTGTGTGACTTCAGAAGGAGGATACTTTCAGGGTGGTAACGCCCCAAACCCTGTAAGAACCATATTCTGTCTATAATCGCTCCAGTTCGAATACAACAGACTTTGTAGTGCACTTTCCGGACAACGGTCTCACAAAACCAATGCAGCTCTGAGGCGCACTGCTGAAGCCTGAGGCGCAAAAAGGATAATAGGTGGGGCTCACCAGTGCTTCTCATGGCAGCTAACTTGTTAAGGAGTTTTTATGGGATTAACAATATAATTTTGCCCCACATGCATGTTAGGAGATAGCGAATCGATTGTTAACATATACCTCATTAATAGAAGAATTCAAAGGACTTGAATCAGAATTTATTTTTCCCTTTCGTCTTGCGACTCGAATATCTTAAACGATCGGTTGCGGTCCACATGCGTTAAATTGAATCTCTGATGACTGATGATTTCTTTGGATTCTTCTGCAGATGCCAACGTGACTGATGCACACTACCATATCGATACAGGGGAAGTTGTGGAATGCCGAATGACGACAATGGGGATGGAGTACAGAGGGACCCGCAACCAATCACAAACTGGAAAGGAATGCAGGCTTTGGGCAGAAAACTACTTTACAGCCGATATCACGACTATCCGGGACGATAAGAACATTTTTTCCTCCCCCAACGAGCAGTACCTGCAAGTAATCATTAAAAGTCTGGACCTAAACTATTGCCGGAATCCAACGATGTTAGCGAGGCCATGGTGTTTCGTTTTGGGTGGGACCCTTGATTGGGAATACTGCGACATTCCCTTCTGCTCCGGCCGCGAAGGTCTGCGATCCTTTGATCTGTGAGGATACAGCAAAGGGTGATCAAAGCATACCGTACGCTTATTTTAAATGTAACATTCCGGACCTTTCATTTAAATTTTATATCTTTGCATGCTCATACCTCTTAGAGGACACAGCAGATCTTGATGGAAATTGACCACAATATAAAACAACGTTTGAAAAAATGTTCTACATATGTTTTCAACAGCAACGCCCTCTCAAAAACCGATTCCACTAAAACCTCTGAAATGAAGATCTCATCCATTTGATAGAAACCTTTTATATATTGCCCATGCACATAGGACTAGCATTACAGCACAACAAGTCTAGAAAGACACAAGGGACACAAAAAGTGAGACGCACAAGCCATATGGACAGGACAGCAATTGGTACGAAGCCAGGCGATTGCTTAAGGGTCCGCACTGTGCAGTTTCATAAGACCACCGGGAAGGCTCTCACGGACAGCACAGCCGGCTAGTATATGGGCAGGTTTCTCAATTGCACCACAGCAACAGTTTGGATTGTCACGGAGGACCCTCTTGTTGTCTATGTCGGCGCAACGGTCGTATCGCATAGAAAACGGTTGATGCCCATAGATGTCGAGGTAAGTCGAACCCAGCAACGCGGTCTTTCGGGTTGGTGATTAGGTAGGAGTTTTTGGGGCTAGCTCTTTCCCACTCTCAGAGCCATCTGTTCGCAGTGGTTAGAGCTGTTGAAAATTCCTGAATGTAGTGCTGCGTCCAGATGGTCAGTCTAGAAGTCAGTCTCAGGGCGGGCTGGGGGGGATTCCAGATGTCATTTTGGATTGGGAGTCGGGGCATCTGTTTCAATCAGAATAGCAGCTTGCGCAGTGCCTCTTCGCGTCGGATGTTGGGAGGGGGGATGTTGGCAAGAACTGGGAGCCATGCCTGATTGGGGGCATGTCTCATGCACCCAGTGATCGGCCGCATGCTCTGGTTTAGCTGTGTATCCACCTGCTTGACATGTGTAAAGTTCAACCCAGCGCAGGTGCAGTACTCTCTGATCGAGTAACAGAGGGCCATCCCAGAGCTGCGCAGTGTCTGGGCATTTGCCCCCTAGTTAGAGCCTGCCAACCTGCCAACGAGAGAATTTCGACTTTTAACTTTCTTTGTCTCCGTCTTTGTCAGGTGGTTTTTGAAGGTGAGTGTCCTGTCTAGTGTAACATCCAGTTAAACAGGCTTGGGGGTCAGCCAGTTGCTGCCCATTCTTAAAGCTCCTGAGAGCATGCGAGCTCTGGGCGTGGTGGTAAACAGCTTAAGACAGTCTTACACACCCTTGGTTTTAGCTTCAATTTCTTGCAATAAGCAGCAATCTCAGACATGTCACTGTTCATAATTTCGTCAATCCAGTTGAATTTCTTTCTCCTAATAGCCATGCAGATGCCATCGGCATATACATGTTATGAACTTTCTGGAGACTATCTCAGTTGGATTGTTTTTGAAGATATTGAAGAGAATCGGCGCCAGAACTAAGCCTTGAAGGAGGCCATTGTTCTGAAATCTCCAGAAGCTGATGGAAGAGGCGAGCTGCACTCTGAACCTGTGTCTACTAAGAAGCAAGTCAGTAGTCAGCACTACCCAACAACGGATCACATATGACATCGTTGTACAGCAATCCAGTATGCCAGATGGTATCATAGGCTGATGTCAAGTCGAGGAAGACAACCCCAGTCTTTTTTCTCTCTTGGAAGCCATTTTCAATGATGATTGTGAAGGCAAGCACTTGGTCACATGGGCTGCGGTTCGGTATAAAACCTGCTATATTTGCATTCAGAAAGGCTTCCACAGTAGGTTTGATCCTCTGCAGGATCAGGCGCTCCAGAAGTTGGTAGCTGAAGCTGAGAAGGATATTGGGCGGTAGCTAGCTGCAAGCAATTGATTCTTGCCTAGATTTGGCAGTGCAATGATCTTAGTGCTGTACCAGGCCATATGCATTACCTTCTCCCGCAGTATGTGTGACATGAGAGCCAGTGGGTGCTCTTCGTTCCCAGGTGCTTCAGGAATTCATTGGAGATGTTGTCCATGATTGGGGCCTATCCTGGCTTGATTTCTCCTAGAGTATTTCTTACTTCTGCGTAGAAGGCTTGTTATTGTTTGATTGGTTATTTTTTAGCTTGTTCTGTCGCCATTTCATTCTCACACTCTCTTTCGAAAGTCTTGTCCCTCTTAGCCTTAGTAACGTTAATTAGGTAAGTAACAGCTTTGTGCCTACCTCCATTTGCCGCAATCACCTTCTGAATTCGGTCCGGCATACTGTCGGCCAAATTCTTAATTGTGGTGGCTGGGATTCTTTCTCATACATCTTCGACACACTTGTAGAGCTGAGCAAAGTATGTGGGTTTTTTCTTTTGTTTGCGAATGCTTCACTTAGCCTCTGGCCACAGATTCTCAATAGGATTGAGATCCGGAATTTCTGCGGGCCAAGACAGCACCCGTAGCTGCTTGCTTCCAAGAAATGTAGAAGCAACCTTTGATTTGTGGGGCGTTGCGTTGTCCTCTTGCAGCCAGCCATTCCCACGCGGAAACCTGTCATGCCTTATGGGCATGGTATATCTGAGCAATGTCTCGCTATATGTGTCTCCCGTATCTGAGCAATGCAACTGCACAATTGGCCCAAGCCCTTTCCGCGAGAAGCAACCCCAATGCATGCAGCTAGGGCTGTAATCTCCGGAAAGTCGTCTGGAGTTGGTGGATCCGGTCTAGACACATTGTTTCTAATGTAAACAGACGATTGCTAGTTCATATCCGACAGTTTTCGCGCGTTTCTGAAATGAGTCATCACGTTCATAGCAGTAAAGAAAATTGTGGCACGCAGCTCATTAGTGAGCTTTTTTTGCCATCTGGAAAAGTGAGGTGGGAAAATCTCCTGCTCAAAAAAAATGTTTTGCGCTTTTTTAATCGAAAAAATGCGTCGGTTTTTCCCGCCGCGTAAACAAAACGCAGACCTTCATTTCAACAGCTTATATCATATTGTACCACACGCATTCCATCAAGTAAATGTGAAAAAATCGATTTTAAAAGAGCGTTCGAAAGCTTCTGATCACTCTCTGCTAGAGAGAGAGTATCGCAAGGGATATCTCATTATCTGCCTGGAATACTCCCTCACACCGCTCGAAAGTCATGTTCCTGATACACGGAACTGTAACTTCCTCATATTTTACACTGGTGGCGAGCCATATATGGATGAATTGTCTGATTACTTATTCGAGCTTTCAATGAGTCATTATGTGCAATAGTTATAAAAAGTTTTGAATTCCCCTATGAATCCCTTTTCACAATCGTGTAATTGTTGAGCAAAGATGCGTCTATTTAAGTTCGGAATGACGTTGTAACATGACTTCTTTAATTGTGAAGCTGAAAACGCATGGAACTTTGCGAACGTCTATGTTTATCTTTTGATGAGCTAGTTTATCCCGAATGCCGACTGACGAACACCGGGATAGAATACATGGGGACGGTGAATGTGACAAAGAGAGGGAGACAATGCCTAACTTGGAACTCCGCAGAGGTGAAACTGTACATAGAACAAGATGGATATATGTCCAATTTTTTCGGTGGTATACCAACCGAAATGAACTTCTGTCGAAACCCGAATTTCCGCGAGATGCCCGGGTGCTACGTCGATGACGGCGGCTTGAGTTGGGAGGATTGTCGGATTCCCCTTTGTGACGATCAAAGTGAGTGCCTATCTGAAAATGACATATTCACCCACAGATGAAAGTAAAATTGACATTCCATGGAAAAACAAACTTGTGCTCCATTCCTAATTTACGATCACTTTTCAATTAGTCGGATACCTTAATTAAAATACTGTATGCATCCAATTTGTGCTCTCTACTACGCCAGAGAAAATATTGTATTTCTTCTGAGAAGATACATATAGAATACTAGCGAATTCCTTTCCCCGAAGGGCAAAGAAACGCGCTTTAGTCGCGCTGTCGGCACTCCATTACCTTGAATTGATATACATTCATTTATTCTTTGCGAAATGGCAAACAAGTATTTAAAGTACTTTCCTATTGAAATGCGTGACGTATGGGGACGAATGTCTTTATTTTCATAATTTCATTCATGCATTACTTCTATTATTTCAAGAGTGCCTATCTTGAAATTTTTTTATGTGTCCCATTTTGTAAATCTAGAGAATCTATTTTGAAATACTTCCCTCCTGCAATCAACACTAAGGAAATATATTTCAAAAGCAGGATTATTCCTGTACTCAGCCATGAAATAGATACTTCTGAGGGAAGTTTAAATTTTCTATCACTGTTTCGTTGGCTGAGGAAACAATTTCAGGAAAATGGGGAAAAGAGCACCGTTGGGTTTTAGCGAAAAGTTTTTATTCGTCTGAAATGAAGACTCAGAGAACTCCTCGGCACCCAGTTTCAGCCTTATACGTTTGAAACCTCCCTTTTTATTTACCGAAGTCTATCCTCAGTGAACTACTTGCCCACAGCGTTTCAATATTATACGTTTGCCAGTTGCGCTTGTGAAAAAGCAATTTTTTAAATCCGACCCACCCTAACGCTATGTCAGGAGATCCACCTTCAAAGTTGAATACTCCTTTAGCTCAGTACGATCGTGTCACTTACACGTGTGCCAAGTATCACCTTTCCATTTCAGTCCAATTCCCCCTGATAATTATTTCTTCAAAACCTCCCACCTCGAAAAGATTCCCCCAGGTGATGTATCGAGACTTAACATTTTTCTTAACTCCGTGTCTCCGTAGTCAAATTCATGCAAAGTGTCAAATTTTCATGTTCATCAGTTTAACTGATATAAAAAAATTGGTTGAAAACATATCCTTTTGAAATTTGTGCCCCCGGGCCACTTACTTCCAGCGTCTGAAGTTTTCTGCAGCATACCAATAGGTATGTATGCACCAAGTTTCATGTTTCTACACCAGCTCATTGCGCCAGCTCGATGCACAATACAAAAAATACTTGAACACCTCGTCTCACAAAAATGTGCCTCCATGGCATGGATCTAAAAGTTTGCATTTTT